GATTTCAGACAGTGCAGTGATCAGACCATAACTGATCTGTACGATGAAAATATCTCCATTAGCTGACAAGAATATTTATACAACAATGACCATCTGCCCTAGCAAACATCATCTGCTCGCAATTTCCAGCAGAAAGCCGGTTTTGCGCTGGAAACCGCTTTCAACAGACGAGCATGTGTTGTACAAGCCGTGCACAGGGACCAAAAAGAGTCCACCGTAGTTAATTCTGCTACTTGCAAATGAATTCGTAACATTTTTATGCAAGAAAGGGCAATAAAGGAAGAACACATGAGACAGCATTGTGAGATGAAGAGACTAGGGCTGTTCCTCGTGTGACATAAATGTTATACTCCAATACTAAAGGCATACTGTTTGTCATTCTCTAAGATTACATTTTGAATGACATAAAAAGGCGAGACAAGACAAAATACAATTATTCTTTCTTTCATATAGTGAGTTTTGCAATATGAATGAGTCTGTCGGTGAATGGACAATAGAAATAGGCTCTGCATGGCCTTGTTGGAGAAGCATGGTTATGACCTTTTCTCAGCTCAGGAACTAGGACCCGTATGATATCTGGTTGTTCAATAGGTTTGCCTAAATAGAAGATTTAGATATGACTCGTAAATATATTCCTGCAAAAAGGTATGATGTTGCAGGGCCAGGCACTGAAAAGTGCTTGGAACATGGTCTTGATGTCAGTTTGTTTCAGCCTTTATCCAGTCTCATGTAGAAGGGATGGTCATCTCACAGGTTATCTGCATTACAACAGGGACAGTTATCAAGGCAGAATGAATACACAAACTTGCAGAGGGGAGGGGGGATTGCTGGAAAACTGAAAATCTCTGGAACTTCTAGTGTTAACAGTGCTGTACACACAAAACCAGCCCGGTGTATGTCTACATACAGGTAAAAAATGTTTGTTTGAAAATAAATGACGGACATACATACGTATAAACAGACATACATACAGACTTACAGACATACAGGTATTCACACCTTAACGCATAGACATATACATAGATACATACATAGATACATACATACATACATACATACATACATACATACATACATACATA